GTTATTACCTGACGATGGCCAAGTGCCGAAATGTTGTAAAAGTAATGGAACTGGTTCGGATGTGATGTGCAGCACTATGGGAATGGGTGTGTCCACCCGAATTCTTTTCACAGATGAAGCTGCAGGAAGCCTCAGCCTTTCTTCAAACCACCATGGCTGCCGTAGCAAATAGACATTGCGTAGGGAGGGTTGTAGCAATGTTCGAACACAGAATCCAGCAAAGACAAGCCAGTCCCGAACATTGAGGTTGCGTTTGGTTGGGGATTTTCAGAATGTAAATGACAAACATTCTGGAATCTGAATGGGTAGGAATCATCTGACAAAACAAACGCGCCAGAATCAAATAGGAATAACTTGACATAACAATTCCATTATGTTGTTGTGGAACGACGGCTCTCTTCTCTTTTACCCGACTGTAGTTGCCTTGGGAGAGTCAAGGTACTTCTGAGTTCATGATTGGAGGCACTTGAACCGGATGCTACATTGTTTGGCTCGTGGCAACCATTATCATTTTTGATTCCGGAATGGGAATGCTCATTCCAGCATGTCAGGTGGAATGATCATTCTCCAAAAAGAATCAGTCTCAACGATTCCCATTCTGGAATGGGACCAACCTAACGCACTTTTTTGACCAACCAAACGGGCGAGAATGATTCCGATTGATTCCAAGTGATTCCCATTTGGGAATGTTATTAACCAAACGTAACCTGAGATGTGCGATGCGACAAGTTTAACGATGTGGAGGAAGTATAAGATTAATAACGGTGTAATCTGCAGCATTCGACCCTGCCGAGACTTTTTTATTAACGCCGCACCATAACTGCACTCTCCATCCAACCTCGACATGTATTATAATATAATCTTTATTTCAGGATTACCCAAAGGCTGACGCCTATCGGGGGATCTCCTATTTGTGTATCTACATTGAACATTGGATTTGGGAAAAGAGAAAATGTGCAAAAAAGTTGGGAAAAAGAGAGATGCTGTACAAAAGATACAGTGAAAGAACAAGCAGTGCACAGTGTACATGTAAATCAATGATTGCACATCAAAGGGATACCAGTGCAGTCGAACTGAAACTTTGCAATGTAAATACGTAAATGACGCTTGAATTCTGTTAGGGAATCTAAAGTTGTCAATTGGGGTGGGAGACAATTCCAAAGTGCACCAGTTTTCTGTAGGAAGAGACATGAGAAAATGCGGCCATGTTGCCACGGCACACTACTAGCAAAGCGACACATCCGTTAGTACTAATTTCCTTCATACAGCTGTTTCGAGTATAAATCTTCCGTCAGTGAAGGTAGATGCTGTTGAATACCTAGAATAGGGAAACCACCTTTTTGTATTGAAAGGAGTAAACTTAATAAGTGGACCTGAGGCACGAAGATTGGAGCGAAGCAAGACAACCAAGTGCAAAACACCATGAAAACCTTTTAAGGTTTTCAGTGTTGATAATGTAAAGATGTGCTAATGAACAGGTGTGAATTCAGCAATTATAACCATGTGTGGATTTGGCAGACAGCACCGCATAGCTGCGCGAGGGCGTGTATATTTCAACTGTGTCACTGCATTGCAAAGCTATAGTATAAGAGAAACAAGGAATGTCTGTGAGTTGAGGAGGGTGAGGTTCGGTGTGGTGAAAGCGTGGACGGAGCACATGCCCCAGGGGCGTCTCAGGTTATTACTTGCAATGCTGTGCTTTCTGCCGGATCCATGTGGGTAGAACTGAATTCTTCTTAGGCAACTGTCTGCTCAACCGTTTGGAGTCTATAACTTTCTTTGCTTTCCTATAACTTGCCAACCACACTACTCATTGTCTGACAATATGCGCTCCAAACACGAGTCCAGTTCCAAACTCTGAGACGAAATTGGTCTCCTCCCCACTGACATTAGAACCACCCAAAATAGTCATCGATTTGTGTCTCGTGTCCATACCATCTTTGCCAACACCCGCTTTGAACCTGCTGGTTATATTCCTTCTAGAGTTTCTGTAACAAAGTAACGAATATTATGGCTGATTTCTACAGTATGCATTTTTGTTATAACCCTTCCTCTTCTCAATCTATGTTGCAATTTTGCAGATATATTCCCAGTAAGCCATGAACGGAGACCCCTCGACTTAGTCCTCGGCCTTTGGGTAATCCATAAAAATATAATGATAAAAAAATAAACATGCACGAAGGGTTCATTGGGTTTTTATGCTGTAGGCGGGTAGCATACCGTGAAGGGCGAACTGGGTGTGCACGTACCGACTGTACACACACTGTACACCCATAACATGCTACGAAAGACTTTTACTTTTATGGCAATCACTGCTCAGTTCTTGCCCATCACCGATTTCAAACATTATTGTTTGTGACAAATTCAATACAGCCTTAGTGGTATATCGATTCAGCTGGTTCTGTTCAGCACTTCTCAAGCGGTTAGCAAATTGCTGCCCGTTAAACATCATAATTCCATCACTCAACAAACATCAACCACAAAATGTCTGTGAAATCACTCATCATTAGCTAATAGCTAGATTACCATAATGTCTGGTATTGCTACTTTTATTGCTACTTTTTTATGTCTGTTTAGGAATTTAGCTAATCTTCATATAGAGAAATTGAATGGCACATTCTCCCCAGGCTTGGAAATAATGTAAGGCAACTTCTGGTGAAGGATTTTTACTTGTGTTATCAAGATATTGTGTTTACACTCCACTCACCAATTGACTATTCCTTGGTACCTGGCTTGCAAGTGTTGAGTTTTGGAAAGAAAATTTTATATGAACAGTAGGGGCCTACTACTTTGAAATTCTTATCGAAGTCCAAATTTGAAATTGTACAGAAGTCATTGGCAAAAATGCCAAAATGCCAAAGCACGGGAGCTGACTGGCGCCGCCATATCTTCGCTAGGGACAGTGATTTACAACCTGCCACGCAGAAAAAAAAATAGTGCACTAAGTGGCTTATGATGTCACATCTACAGTTAAAAGCGATCTCATGATCTGGTGGTGGTTGTGTTTATTTGAATTCGCAAACCGAGCGGACTGTACATGTCCAATGACAAGGAAGCGAATGAAGTCCAAGTAACCCAGGACTGGGGACACAGATGAAAAGAAAATATGTGAACAGAAGGCTCTCAGCAAAAGAAGAAGAGAAAGAAGGAAAGAAAAAGAATAAAGATCTAAGAGCGACATGAGAAAATGACAAAGCAAGAATAGAGTAAATTGATTTTGAATCGCAGCTCGAAACTTGGTAATGAAGTGAATAAAGATTGAGAATGAAATAATTATTTCCAACCGAAGGCAAGTATTAGTTTGCCAGTTATCCCAACGTTCTCGTTCCCTTTCCATCAAGAATTGTACAGGGAATGGCTCAAGTTGGAAAGACTAAAACTTATATAGCGTAAAGACAATATAATAACAACATCGTACTGATCATCATGACTTGTAAAGGCGTGATAATGTTTTCTCTAAATATTGTCGCGTGGTAGATGTGCGTTGCATTTGGCTGCGTTAGAAGCTTTGTATATACATGTACACACTAGTCAGAACAACAGATGGCTTGATCAGTCACAACTTAAAGTTTCATGCCATCTCAGGCACTCATCATATTACCTGATGAGTGCCTGAGATGGCATGAAACTTTTTAGTGTACGGGCAGGGGGGGGGGGGGTCGCTACACAAGCATAGAGAGTTGTGCAACAGCACGAATATCTGGGATTTGAAGGGAGTACGAGAAGGGATTTCGCGAAGCTGGGTGGGCAAGCAATTAAAGTAATGATGGGCCTTGTACAGGGGAGAATGGAGACAGCGGTCAGTCCGCGGAGTTGGCAAGTGCCAAGCACGAGCGCGACGTAAATTATACTACGGTTGCACGTTGCTACCAGTATGCAGCGAGAGTATCTGTGGTTGGCCATAATTGTGATGCAGAGAATGCGTGAAGAGTATATGTTTAACTTCAAAGCGTGAAAATAATGTTGGCCATTTGATGCGATGCAAAAGGTGGGAGTGTTCTAAGTGTGTGTAAAGGGGAAGGTGGAGACATATTCTGGCGGCTTTCCGCTTGAGTCGTTCTAGCCTGTCAAGGGAAGTGTGTGACAACGGTGTGAGAGCATTGCTCGCATATGAGAATATAGGCAGTATGTATGTGTGATAGATGTGAGATAAAGAATATTGAAAGACTTGAGTGATTTTTTGACTATGTATTCAACATGCTCCGTCCAACGGAGGTCATGCTGAAAGATTATTCCGAGGTGTTTGTGTTTTTGTGCTACGGTAAGCGGACTATTCCTGAGGGTGATTTTGTTGTTGTTGTTGTTGTTGTTGTCTATTTTACTTCACCAAATGAACAGGCAGAGATGCCTTTTCACCTGCCCATAGGACAGGTTATCACAGAATGATGAAGGGATGATATGCAGGGGAAAACAAAAAATTATAATAATAATAATAATAATAAGACAGAAAGGAACAAAAGAAGAAAAGGAAAAAATTATTTTACAATTGATCTTATATATTTTAGCCATTTTTCAACGATTGGCAATTATTTAAAAACATAATACGCTGGTCATGAAAACTATAAAGGTGAGAGACGATAGGAAATTCTGCACGTGTGCGTGAGTGCAAATTTACTGGAATAGGGTAATTGCGGTAACATATTAGCTGTGACATTTTTCTTTTGTTTCCAAAGATTTGGATCACGAGTACAAATGTAGAATGCTTTTGCAACTTTCAGTTCTGAACATTTTTCCTTTCACTTTTACATTGCACATTAATATCTCTCACATTCTCCTTACTATTTTAGTTATCTATCACCAATGAAATAATGGTTGCCGCACAGTGTATTCTCTCGGTTGGGAATCGCTTGATCATGGATGCAGAATTTTACTGCAAGTCTAGAGATCTGTCAATAAACTATGCTCCAAGGGCCAACACTTGTTTAGTTGAGCAATTTTAATCATTGGCTGTGTTTGCTTTGTGATTTGTTTCTTGGCTTTTGCTCCTCGAAGTCACTTGTCAGGTAATAATATAAGCAGCCTGCTACCTGGTGTCTTTAGTGGAATGTTGGAGAGCCTGTAAGTAGTTCAATTGAGAAGACTAATCTGTGCGATGTGAAAATGTAATTGTATAAGGCCAACTGGGTCTCTAGCACTTCAGGGAAGATCGGGGGGGGGGGGCTCTTCAGGGAGGATGGGCGTGGGTGCTCTTCACGGAGGATGGGGGGGGGGGAGGGCTCTTCACGGAGGATGGGAAGGGGTCTTCAGGGATGATGGGGAGGGGTGTAAATTTACTTGGTCCGTTTCATCGCAATTGTCGCTTATCTATCGCAACTAAGAACAGAAGTTTTTTTACCGCTCTGTTCAATTTCCAATAAGCATAGTGAAGAAGCATGATACAGGATTCCTGTCCACCAAAAGAAAGAAATTCAGCGATGGAATCTGATGAAGGAAGTCCAAGAAAGCAACCAAGGTTACAAAAAATGTACAAAAGAAAACAGCGACGGAGCGCCTTCTTGCTCTCATGCTTTAGTTTATCCAACTCTGGCTCTGTATTACTCGAGCTGATGCCACTTCAGCTGAAATTTGCTGGTGTGTATAGCGGCTGGCGTAGAGTATCTCTTGCTTTCTCCGCTTGGCGTATGGCAGCGATGGGAAAGGAACAGTCGCGGCTGTCACTTTGGCACTTGGAGGAACGTGGGCAGCGTGACCCGTCTGTCACTACAGTACTGTGTGTTCAACAATGTTTTTGAATCAGGCACACATCCCTCTCCAGAGAGCTGTCATACGCTCTGCTCGATACGCTGACCACGACTCTTGTACTGCCGCTGCGAGGACGGACAATGTCTTCTTTGCCACCATCTTGCCATCAGTTTGCAGGCTTGCAAAGAATACCAGGTCATTGCAGTTCAAACGTGGCGACTGAGCTGGCTGGCCTGGCCGTGACTGTCACGCTCTCCAGGTCAGGATGGCGATTTTCCCTGCTACAGTTCCTGTCTTTGAGCTGCGCTTGGCTTTTCGCTGCTGTGGAGGTGCGCATTCACTGCAGTGCATTCATTGCAGTGAAAAGTTTCCCACTTTCCCATCAAAATTGTATGAATCGCGATACCACTGGCGCTAGTCGCGAAGGTTTTTTTCTTTCTGGTCTCCT